CTAAAGATGAAGGTATCAAAATGGATTCCGGTATCATTGTATCAGATGAAAATAAAGAAATGAAGGTCACAAATTCAATGGAAACTCGAGAAATTAATACTAAAAAGGTTGACAATAATAGCAATAAGGATCGCATTCCTCTGATGGAACCTACTACAGATTCTATTGTTATTAAATCGGGCAAGGATAATGAAATAACTGCCGCAAATCTTGTAGAAGCTCCCACCATTTTCGATATGATGGCCGATAATCTCGATTGGGATTTCGACAAGGATCTAAGTTTGAATAACTTAGATGTTGACTATAATGTAGTATCTAAAATTTCGTCATTTACTTTAAAAGATGGAGGCACGAATGATAATCCAATGGGAGGTTTCCAGACAACCGCTGATGATGTTGATGATAGTGACCAAAGAGACTTGATTCAAACAGAATCTACTACAGATCCCACATTTATTGTACTTGATGACGAAAAGACAGTATATCCGGTAAAACACCTTAATTACGGTATTGATAACAAAGATTCACGAGAAGAAACTTTCAAAGATCATTCAATTATAAACATGTTGGATGATGACGACTTCACAGTAATTACAGGTCTTGCAAATGACAAAGATTCGACTTTGAAGACAAAGGTCACTGATATTAGTTTGACCGTTAATAATGTTAATGATGCGGAAAACACCGGCAAACCTGATCGGTCATACGCAGCAAATTCATCCGAAAGACCTATTTTCAGGCAAAAATACAAGAATGAACTAGACAACCTTTTTGATCAAAGATATAGCACTGACTCCAGATCAGGTGAAATTTCATCCAAACAAGAAAATATATATGTTTCAAATGTATTACTCATTCCAGATGAATTTGCAAATGGAGCATTTAATCCCCGAAGGAATTTATTAGGTCCACGGAATAAACGTAATGCTGACGTTTATGCCGAGGAAAGTCAAGAATGTGATAAAGAGTCGAAGAAAATTCGGCTTGAAACAGATCAAGAGGCTACAAGGACACGGCAAAGGATAACAACCACCTACATTGACCCATCCCAAGTTACTGATATTCAAGTAGTGTCACAAGTTAAACGTCATCCAAGAAAGCCAAAGGCTCACATCAGAAGATTAAATAGTGATATGAAATGACGAAGACAAATTAAGATTTATAGTACCATAACTATAAAGAAAAGCGATCAAAACTAACTGCAGAACAGGAAGAAACAAAATCGAGTGAGAAATGCTGATCATTTCTAAACCTCGACGTCGCAGAAGATGTTACTAAAGGTTTAAATTTTCATAAACTATTATATTTTGAATTGGAATATACACTTATTAACTTTATTATTTTTATTTAATTAGCATTTAAAGAATTATGTTCTTTTCAAATGATCATTCAAATAAAATGACAATGTAAATTTATTTCACATGATTGAATTAGTGATACATCTAGTAGGAATTATGTAAAGAAAAAAAAAAAGGATTTTTTTAATTTTAAATCAATTTTATTTTCATACGCAAATTAGTATTTGTCGAGAATTTTCTAGTAATGGATATTTAGAGTATTGCGACAGAATTAGTAAATGCTTGGAAATGATTAATAAACAAAGGAACAATGTATAACAGCGGTTAAGCCGCGGCCGATGATATTTTTAGGAAATGGGAAAAAGATTAACCGTTTTTCCGATCGGGAATCGGAAAAATTATCATATATAGTTATGTGACATTTAATGACGGGCATATACATGCGCGGATATAAGTAGCACAGGTCGTAGCGCACGTGATTTTATCACATCATTTCGCGTTTTTGATGAAAGTATAACGATAAATTTTTTATTTTTATTCATGTATTTTTATCTTTTTACATTAAGAGAATCCGATTAAACTTGCAATTAATGACATGATAATTCTAAAATGTTTTTATTTTTTTTATGGATTTTTTTTTTTTTTTTTTTTTTTTTCGTTCTTTACCAAGAGAATAAGAATCTTTATTGAGACCCTCTATAAAAATCCTAAAATTGATAGTATTCTAGAACTTATCATTTTTAAAATGATGTGCCGCAAAAACTTTTGGATTATTATTTTTATTTTTTTTTTAATAATTATGATTTGTAGGTGTAAAATTAATGGGACCTATTTTTAAAAAAAAGAAAAATCAAAAGGAAATTCTATTTTCTTGGCCTTAATGGAGGGAGGCTTGGTTGTGACATTGTGACAAATAATAATATAAAAAAGGATCGACAATATAAATAAAAAATAGTCAATCTACGTTATGGGAGTACAAAAATCAATTACATAATCAGGGTTAAAAAAAAAAAGCATAAATAAACCGGGGATTTTTAAAACTCGAAATGACAGAAAAAAAAAATAAACAATTTAAATTATAAAAATAATTTTCTAAAGTATACAAAAAAATTCAAAAGATTAAAAAAATGAGCGAACAGCAGATTCAAGGATTATTTTCATTCAATGATATCAATGGTGATGTTGAATTTCAACCAAACCTGTTATCAATCACCAACTTTGTCGTTGATAAGACGAATTATCCAATTGTAAGCTTACCATTTCCCCCAGTAATTGAACCAAAGGATTTGATTATCAAGAAGAAATCCTTACAAGAGAATCCAGATGGTAAACCAACCAGAGCCCCCAATGCTTTTATAATTTATCGCAAAGCATATGTTAAAGCCACACGTGATCAAGGATATTCTTTACCCATGACCCTAATCTCGTCAATGGCTTCCGCATCATGGGATCAAGAGAATGTTGTGGTCAAAGAAGAATATAAGAGAATTGCCAAAGAAACTCACAAATTAATTAAAGAAATGTATCCAAAGAAATCCAATCGAAGAAAGCGTAAAGATAAATGGAACCTAGTTTCTTTTCAAGATAAATCAACCGATAATAACGAGACGAACCTACCTGAAAATAAATTCAAAAACGTGCAAAAATTAACGCAAACTTCAACGACAACTAATGTTCCAAATTTATTACTTACACCATCAACTCCAATTTCGATAGCTTCATCATCGTCATCGAGATCATCACCCAATTTATCGGATATCACGGAATCAAGTCCGATACTTCAACAACAATTAACTCCCATTCTAACAAATAATAACCAAGAGCAAATCTCTGAAGAATATTTAAACGATGAATTAAACAATGTAAATTTGCCAAATTCTTTTCAAGAATATCTTAATCAACCTATAAATGATTTTTCGGAAATGTATTCTGATTTAACATTTGATGGATTATTTGATATTTCTACAATAGACGGTTTAATAGAACGTAATAATCCTCGGTCTTCTTCTTTGGATATGACATTGGCTGAAGCTTTTGGCATTATAAATTCAGAAAATTTTGATTTAGGATTCGAATTCTAAAATTTTATGGAATTTTCTTCTCTCGTCTTTTTTTTTTTTTAAGAACATAAAGATTGTTTCAAATATTTGTAAATAACATACAATATAGACATATAAACATTATGTATAAGTTTCATATTAAGCTGAATAAAATAAAATAAATAATTTATTTATCGAGCATTATCCATATGTCCAAGCACAAGCGATTTAACAAGTGTATTGAAAATGATGAAATTTATGAGTATATGAATGTTTGCAACTAACGCAATCGAATTTTACATGGACGTCAATATTAAATTCGTAATATTTTGAACATTCACAACTTAGTGTCAACGATAAAAAAGTATTTATTCTCCACTTTTCCTGGTCCGACATTTGATTTGTTTTTTTATTTTTTTGGTCGGTACGTACTAATTCGTTCAACGTTCAGTGCTTCGGTCATTTACCACTTGAAATTTATTTCATGGTCATTAGCGAAACACCGTCAAAAATTGCTATTTTAAATTTATAATGAAACACTTTATATGGATCTTTTGCAATAGAATTAATAAAATTATTTTTGATGAAACCAAAAAAAAAAAAGCATTTGTTCTTGTATACATTAAAAAGATTTAAACTTTAGAAGGCATAAAAATTACTATTGTTTAACCCATTTGAAAATGTATTATTCATTGTTTACCTTACAAATGATTGTTCATACGTAGAAATATTCCGCTGCAGTGAAACGAAAAATTGATCTTTAGATTATTTTATTTGTAATTATGTCGATCAACCATCATGTTGCATTTTTAGAAATCCTCAATAGAAATTTTAGCGAACCAATAAAATATAAACGATCTGACCATGTTAGTTCTCCGTAATCGTGTTTCAACGACGCAGTATTTTGATTTTCTGTCACATGTATTAACACAGCCACGAATGTAAAAATAGAATATTCTTTTAGATTTGCTAATTCCTTGCTCCAACATTTTGTAATGGCTATACATCTCGGAAACGGAGCTTGGCTAATAAAATTTTCTATGAGAAGAAGATATAGTTGGTATGGTAGCGTAAATCTGATAGCCATAGAAAAGAGTGGGAATTGTTGCATATTCTACTTCACAGATGCAATAGATATCAAAGAAAAAAAAAATTAGTGTTAATATAATAGTTCAGATATTGAAAGTAATATCATATATTTTCGAATGCTATACCATTTTCCATTTTGCTATTCCCACAATCCCTGGGCTTTATTTTAATCAGTGTGGTGCATATGTATCAAATTATAAGAATTGCACTTCAATATGGGACTTGAAATTAAAAAATTTACATCATAATAGTTAAGAAAGAACATTCATAGAATTAAAATTTCTTTTACGCGACAGAAAATGGTGAAAAAATATATTTTTCAGTCACCACTGTCGTAATGATAAATATGCAGGATACATAATGTTGGGTAAATGTCATGTGATAAGCAATTATTTGCCCCCAACATGATTCACGCGAGGAGCATTTATGATGTAGTCAATGTAACAATAAAAAATTTGTCATGTAATCCTTTTTTTTTATCGACATCAAATTTATGATTTCATTCACTTGGCACAAGTTCAAGTATTTCGTAATGATGAGACCACAGTTGAACATATTAATCCAAAAAAATATAATGATTTCACCGGGCGATAGACAGATTCAGGAATTTCTCGTGATGTTATCTCACATTTTTGCCGGAAATATTCCGATTTTTGGTGTATGGGGGAAATTTGATTACGCAGGTGACATCGTACATGACAAAGTTAGTACTATGACACATGATGGTAATTAATAGTTATTCGGCACGAAGTGCCGAATAACTATTATATTGGGAAAATCAAATTTGATTCCCAATATTATTA